GAACACATCTGAAACTTAAAAAGAAACTGTCAAACTTTGCCTAATCTAGAGACTGTTTTAAAAGAGAATTACCAGTTTGGTCCTAGCTACCTCAGCCTTCAAAAATATTCCAAACCATTCAGAAAGATCTACATATACAAGCTGCCAAATTGGCTTTCTTAAAAGCACTGAGTTCTTTGTGTTTAAAGACAAGTTAAGTAATACATAAGATGATGCATTTTGCGACTTAAGAAAGGGCATCTGTTATGGTAAGTGCTCCTTAGTCTCCTAGAAGCTCTCACACTACACTACACAAAGACATGGACTTGCAAATTACTGTGACCTCAGCTTTTACAACATGTAACCTACGCGATGAGAACTGCCTATGTGCAGCATCTCATTCTAGACTAAAAATTGAGGTCACTTAGTGCTAAAAAGCAGTAAGGTATGATATCAGCTCCAGTGCACAGAAAAGGCCAGACACACACATGCAATTCATGCTTGTTTACAAGCTTGAAAAAGCTTTAGAAGAAAACAAGGCTATCTCAAATATTATTTAGTTTAGAAATGCCAAAACTCTGCTACGCAAGAACAAGAATCCAGATCTGAGGCTCATGCAAAATTCAGGCTCTGCAGGCTCTCCAGCCTCTAAGGCGGCTTCCATAAGCACCCAGCTCAGATGGCCTGTCCTCCCAGGAAGAAGCTTAATCCTATGGGCACAGACCTCATTTATGGATCCCATTGGCACTATGTTAAAGGATGTAAAAACATTTCAGCTGTAAGGAATGCATTGGTGTCCACAAACAGATATAGCAGCACACAGAGGCTTAGACACCAGACCTAGCAAATAAACTTTACTGTCCAAACTAGGAAAAAAACCCACCAAATTATTAGCTGCAAAGCTGCAGTAAACTTGAACTTATACACATTTAATAGGTATGATAATGGACTAGGAAGTCTTGTTTTTTTCAATATACATTACATAAACATGATTTATTTCATTTCAGAGATGCTGCTAATACACGTCTGCAGAATGGAGAGATGAATAGAAGCACTTAAAGCCATATTTCACCAAAACTGTAAACGTGTTGTAGAAAACCATGACTCAAACCACTTCAAGAAAAAAGAAACTTAAGCAAGCTGAAAATCAACTTCCAATTACCCTAAAACATCCTTGAATATCTCAAAACATTTACTTAATTTTACAACACATGAATCAAATTTAATTCAGGCACACGGACACAAAAAGACTTAAGCAATCCAAGATCTAACTACCCCTGTTATACTATTTTCTGGAATCCAAGACAAATATCTTCTCCCACATACCTCCATCTCCTGCTGTGCCACTTCACATGCTGCCCCCAGGCCTACTGCTAAAGGAGTGGGCACAGTCCCAGACCGCAGTCCTCTCTCCTGGCCTCCTCCACTTTGCAGGGGTTCTAGCCTGACACGCGGTCGACGGCGAACATAGATAGCACCAACCCCTTGAAAACAAGGAAAGCTGTTTTAGTATGCACTCACAGTTCTGAAATTATGAAAAGGGACTCCAAGGTTTGGAAACATTCCTTATTTCCACAGAAAACACATATTTGGACACCTCACTGGAGAAAAATGCTGTGAACACATACAGAAGCACAGTATTTCCTAGGAAAAGGTGTTTGTTCGTGTTGCTCTTCATTCAGGCTCCCAGAGCTTCAGCCGTGGGAGAAGCTCAATTTCCCCCAGTATGCTTCAGCCACGTAAGGACTCAGTACTTCCCTTACTTCTCACAATTGCTGTGCACAGCTGAAGTTCATCCCTTTGCACTGAAGTACTGATATTTCATTCACTAATGTTCCATTACTGACTTCCAGCTGAAAGCTCTAGAACTCCTTTCCCTGGATTACCGGGCCAGCACCAGTCCCAGGAGTCCTCTCCCGTTCTTCTCATTAGGGACAATTCATCAGTTGTTGGGATCACCCTGCACGGCTCGAC